GGCTGGTCACCTTGGTTACCACAAAACCTACGATCGCCTTCGAAGTCGGTTTTATTGGCCAGGTATTACCACTAGTGTAACCCGATACGTTGGGTCCTGCACTACCTGCCAATGTAGAAAACTACCAACATCTGCTCCAGCCGGTACACTACAGCATCTTCCGTGCCCAGCCACACCATTCGAAGTTGTAGGCATCGATCTTTATGGCCCCGCTTCCAGTCAGTGCTGCTGGAAACCGATGGATAGTAACAGCCGTTGACCATTTGACGCGCTACGCCGAGACGGCATCAGTCACTACCGGTTCAGCTTCTGAAATTGCAGACTTCATCCTCCGAGCCATTATACTGCGTCATGGTGCTCCACGTGTATTGCTCAGCGACCGTGGAAGGGCCTTCCTTTCACAACTAGTGAACGAACTTCTTCGCGCCTCTGGCACAACTCACAAGACTCCCTCTAGTTATCATCCCCAAACTAACGGCCTCACTGAGCGATTCCACCGCACTGCTGACATGATCGCCGCCTACATTCAACCAGACCACAAGAACTGGGATGTAGTTCTACCATTCGTCACTTTCGCCTACAATACGGCTATTCAGCGGACAACCGGCTACTCACCATTTTACCTAGTTTATGGACGCTTCCCGACTTCTTTCCTGGACGTCTCTTTCTTTACCTGCCATGCAGATTCATCTCCATCCTCTTCAGAGGAATACGTTTTACGGCTCGCACAGAGCCGCCAACGTACTCGTGTAAACACTGAAGCCCGACAGCAAGACAAAGCTGGTTTATGATGAATCGCATCGTGCTGTATCCTTTCAACCTGGAGACGAAGTGCTCCTTTTGACGCCTATTCGCACACCTGGTTTGTGCGACAAATTCCAGCCACGATTTATCGGGCCGTACACAGTTCTTGAAGAAACTTCACCAGTGAATTATCGTGCGACGCCACTTGTAGCCCCAGCAGATCGCCGTTATCGAACTACTGAGGTCGTCCATGTCTCCCGTATGAAGCCCTTCATGCGACGTTCTTTGTCCCCTTGACTTGCCGCGGCCAGGCTGGCTGCTTTCACGTGGGGGAATTCAGTGTGGGCATTTAGTATACCAATCCTCTTCATCTGTACATTATCATCATTATCATGTGCTGCTCATGCATCCTCATCGTTGTCACGTAGCATCATCATCTTGGTTCGTTCATCTCAGCTGTCGGCTGCCGGTTCCTCGGGCCTAATAAAGGTCTTCCAAACCAAGACTTCATAATATATATATATATATATATATATATATATATATATATATATATATATATATATATATATATATATATATATATATATGACACCAGTCAGATGATAGCCATTGAGAAGCTTGTAGGCATCAAGCGTTGGTGGCAGAAGATAAACGAAATGATGTACGTATGAATCCCACCCATTCCAGCTGCTTACACCATTACAATGTGTGAGCTTTGGCTACAACTTAAATGATACGGAACATGAACTCTTTTGAAGAGGCTAGCAATAAAAATGTGACGTAAATTATATTCCCATAGATTTCTACCCATAAAACTTCTTAAATTGAATATAAAATCTGTTTTAATGACTGAATCTTGACAAATATCGTGAATTGCACAACTGTTTGAACACGTAAAAATGACTTTGCCTTCAGCACTGTCAAAGCATGTCAAGCGTGCCGAAAAAGCCTAAGCTTATTTAATGTAGCTCTTTCTTTTGTATGATTCCATCCTTCGTACCCACTGCTGGCAACCACTTGGTATTGGCGATAATATTGGCAGAGCATGTACAGGAAAAGGGACAGAACATAAGCGATAGAACACCATCGCAACGTTATCCAGTTGAGTTAAACTTCCACAAATGCCTCCAAGAAGAAACTATGTCTTGGACGCCAGCCCCAAAAGCCCTCACCTACCCTTTCAGCTTTCCTCCTTTCCACCCGGTACAGTTGCTAGAGCCTCTCACGGTGATTCCTTGCAACCTGCTGCAGCGCCGCCGGTAACTGAGCAGATGATGTGATGCGCATCAGCGGAAAGAATGCCAGTGTTGTTGAAACTACCGGAGGAACTAAAACGCAACAAAACGCATCTCAAACGCGCTAGCGACGTGACGTCCTAAACGAGTTGAAAACGATGTTGGGCAATCATCAGGAGAAAAAAACGCACGAAGACCGAGCTACAATGCCTGTTCTTGGGGAGCTCTTTTCGCATTGATTTCACGCGTTCATGCAAAAGGTCACTGTATTTACTCGCGTAATAAACCCATTTTCCAGAAAAGTTGACGTCAATTTGGGGGAAGGATTCATTGCACAAGAGAAAGGAAGTCACGGGAGTTGTAACAGCGAAAATTTCGCATGAGTGTCTTGCTTGCTTTGGCCCGCAAAATGCTCGACGAATCTTTTTGGTAGCCCGAAGTTTTTCTAGTTTTCTCCCGTAACAATCGTGCACTGATTGACACCGAAGAGTCGTCTGGCCACTCGGTTCCCCCGCTCCAGCACAAGCTCAACCAATGAAGTTTAAGACCAGCCATGTTGTTAGTATACCGGCCGAATGGACACTGCGCAGCAGGTGCCTAACAAAGTTCTCTACGACAAACCCGACAAGAACAACACAACGTCAGATGGCAGCACACAAATGTCGCGTGCGACATGCTGGCGACGCGGTGGGCGTTGCGCTTTGCATGGCCTCCGAGATGGCGGGTGCCTGGTGTGTTTCTATGCCACGCACCCACCATCTCAAAGGCCATTCACTTTTTTTGCTTTGCTTATGGTGCCATGCAAGTACAGCGGCACGAAAACAAAGAGGTTTCTCCTGCATTCGACAGATGGCGCTCTGCTGCAAAAGGCACGACTTAAAAATTTTTATTGACGCCATCCGGGTTCGCATTGCTCGCAACTGTTTAGCATGGTTGCGAAACTATGTTTGGCTTTTATTGTGTTATTTTGTGATATAATGGCTTGATTTAATGTTTTTTTTTTTTTCAATCGTCAACGGCACTAGCTTGCACCCCGAAATAATACCGAAATAATATGAACAGATACATTAAAAAACTTTTTTTCTTTTTCCAAGGACCACCAGGGGGGGGTTACTATGTGAGTGGGTTCATTACGCGAGTAAATGCGGTATGCGTTATTGAGCCGTGTTTTCAGCTTGCCTAGCAATCTAGTGGTGCTGCATGCCCAAATACTCGTTGAGCCCCAGGAAACAGAGTTGCCGGTACCTTTGGAGAGTAGTTTGAGTGACCAGCAACTCAAACCAGTTTCAAGAGATGACTGTGTGCAAACATGTAACCCTATACTGTGCAGCAAGGTGTAACCCACAGGAACGCTGCCGCAAAGCTGCTTGAAAGGACACTTCTGTCGCGAAATGTGCGTTAGTTGTAGCCTAACCTTCTAAAAGGAAATGAGACCGGCACTTGTTAGTGCTCCTCCAGCGCACGCCACAAACGCACAGTCAATCGCCCGCACAAAGCAGCTGGCATCGCTGCTCCACCGACACAACGTTGCGAACACAATCGCACTCGCCGGCTCCGGTGGTACAGTCGCTAGCGCCACCACATAGAGCCCGCTCTAAACGCATGGCCGCGTGCGCCTAACGGCAAAACTGGCAACTTCCGATACATAGTTTTTTTAGGTGGCATTGCACATCTAGCTGCAAAAACACATGGTTGTAAACAAATACTGGTACAAAATTTTTCCCTTTTCCTATGCTTTATATTAGGCAACTGCAGTTTATGTAATCATAGTATCATGTTTTAGTTCCTTGGGTTCACAAAAATCCATAACTATACATAGCTTACTATGACGAATAATACAAAACATGCTCAAAATGAGCATGCCTTTACTTATGTTGGGCACAAGAGTTCGAGACATCCTAAAATCTGAGGTTGTAGTCATAGCATGTCACCCGCAAGCTGGTTGGTAAGGCTCGTGGCAAACCGGTAAAAATCAATGCGCTTATTTTGCCAACAAAGCTTAGGATTGAGATAAGAGGAATAAGAAAGTGTGCAAGGCGACTCAAAATTACACAGGAGCGACAGTAGGGGACCAAGCTTGTTCAACGCGCAAATATGCGAAATGAAGAAAGAAATTACCAATCCAATGATAGCCAGCTTTTGGCAGAAAAGCTATCTGCAACTTGTGACCATTCTGCCAAGCTGACCAACATGCCTATCAATAATTTGTGATCAATGGGTTATGTGACACTATGTGATCACTATGTCTGCAGTGATGGGTGGAAAGCCCTGCTCAACAGACCCTACGCAACAAGGTTGCATGGCACCAGTACAGATGCGACACACTTGCAGAATTTGCTGATGTGAAATGAGTAAATGAGAGTATGGAGCTATCTAATGAAGCACAAAAAAAATAATTTTTGAAAATAGGTGAAAAATAACTCCAAAGAGAATAAAAGCAAGTACTTTTGACTATTTTTCAACAAGTGGATGTGAAAAAGTACTAACAAGCAATTTCAGCCTTCAGTTGTGAAAACCCATCACAAGCAAGCCATTACCACCATTAGGACTACATCTACATTGTGCTTTGTCTATTCAGCGTCCTGCCTAAAAAAATTAGCATTTAATTTCTATATTCATGCAATGTTGGTGTGCTGAAATAAAATTAAGGGTGTAAAAAAAGGCATCTCATAACTCAATATTATTAGGATGCCCCAACTACCATTAATCATGCACAGTTACTACTCCTTGCAAGTATAAAATAACAGGGCAATGCAGAAAATGCACGCATTTACTGTCATCCAACAATCACAGCTCTTAAATTTGAGAGCTGCAGTTGCCAGTGACCACTGCATTCCACACACAATGCTCTGCCTACCTCCTCACAGTCCTACACCTAAAGAAACCACATCCACAGAGCTATGTTCGAGAGGTCTTCTTGATTCAGTCGATTATACTCATACCCAGTCACCGGAAGACAAAAAAGACAAGGGAGACAAAAAAGTGCTAAAATTTCCCCTGTTCAAATGGCCGACCTACCAGAGTTTTCTTTGGCGGCAGCTAATTCTGCACTTGCATGTTTGTCCCGTCGCCGGCCAGACTTTTTCGGCGGCTTTGCACTGGGAGCATCGACGGTTTTCTCTTCGACTTCATCCATCTTCTCTTTCGGTGGCTCGGGCTTGGGCGGTGCCGAGGCCTCCGGAGCAGGCTCCTCGTTTTTCTCCTTGTGGTGGTGCCTTCCTTTCTTCCCTCGGTGAGAGGCTACACAAGCACAGAAAGAATAAGCAGGCTGTTTAGGATAGATCTTCGAACGTTAAACAGCAAATATTCTACAAACAAGTGCCCACAATTTACGAGATACTGAACGAAAATGCACCGATGCTACCGAGATCTTCTGATGTGGAGCGATTTATGAAGCAGTAACATTTTCATTTTGGAGCATTTTGCAGCACTTGTGAGGAGGTAATTTCGCATCTGGGAGAAATGCAGAGAAGCTCATTTCACATCTGGGGATACACTGGGAAAGAAAATTGCATTTACATTCAAGGACCTTGATAACTATTGTGAGACTCGCATGAAGAACTAACAATATTTTTATTAATTGCAAATTTGTCATGAGATGGCGTAGACGATGAAATAGGAGAAGCACAAGTGCGTGCATAAAGTAACACACTGCTCGATGTACGTGACACGAGCCGTAATGCAAGACAACAGAGCTGGCATTGTTTGCATGGCTACGGGAGAAGATGGTTGCATCGGCAGCTACGCCCTGTTGACGGCACTGCGGGTGTTTGGTTTCGATAGCCGCGACACTGACACTCCGTGGCGTAGCCGTTGGCCTCGACGACGCTAAGGCAAGGCTCCCTGAAGGTGCTGCAGCATCTTTCAGCTGGTGTGGACACCCCTGTCCCAGTCCCCTTTCGAACGCTAGCCAGCAGCAATTCCCGGGACTTCGGACTGGTCTCGTATTAGGCCTAACTGACGAACGTCATGCCACGACGATGACCGGAAACAGGCCTACGGCAGCGTGACTGACCGTTCGGCATCGGAGTGACGATTGAAACGGACTGTCAACTACATCGGCCGCCGACCCAACACAACGAAGGTCGGACTTACAGCAATCAACAGGTTGAAGTAGAGAGAGAGATAAAACTTCGTTGTATCTATATACAGGGAGCCTCACAAACACTAGGTGGGCTTCTCATTGCAGAAGCCCATTGGCGCCCAACGCAAGTCGTGCTCTGTTGACGAGGGCCTTCTGGCTTGCTAGGTCGGAGCAGCCAACAGGGTGCCTCCCAGTTCTCCCAGATGGGGTTCGGTTTTGGGGTGAGGCAAGGGGTTGACTGGCATGCCCACACCATGTGGAAAATGTCCGAAGACTTCTCCGCACAGAGCAGGCATTTTTCTGTACAGGCAAGATCGAGATACTCAAAAACTGTCGGGCACAGCAGTGCTTTTAAGAGAGTTCGATTCGGGCTACAAGCCGACGACAAGGTCAAGGTGGGCAAACTGAAGTTAGACTGTAGATACATGAAGCCGAAAACAGACTATTGTAACGTTAGTTTACTTTTGTAGATTTGATTGTAGATAGGATTTTTTCGTCGTTTGTTGTTTACTTATTGGGTAAGTTTCCTTCTTAGCTTTTTCTGGTTCGTTATTAAATCATGTTTGCTGTGCCACTTAGCGTCCTCTCAATTTATAGCCACTGGCACTTACCCCCGCAATCCATGACAAAACAACCATGTCATGGCTATACAACTGGCTATACACATAGCTTACACATCAAAAGAACTACAACTTCTATGCCTCACTCTTTGCTCAAGATACCCTCCAATTCATAAACACCTTTACATTAACTCCTAACACTTTTTTTGTACTTCCACAAAAAAAAAAAAAAACAGCATGTTACTCTGTTTACAGTGGAACTTCGATTATACGACTTTCAGGGGACCACGCAAAATCGTCGTATAAACGAAAAACTAAGAATATAGGCACTGATGGTCATTGTTGCCCCACAACAGTTGTCACATAATGCGTAATAGAGTCCGCAGCATAAATCTACGCTGCTCCGAGGTAGATTAAATTACTTGAAAAAATGACAACCAGGCATTTTATCGAAAATGTGAACAAATCTTTATTCTCACCTTTTAAAAAAATCTGATTTTTTTCTGCGAGTTTGCCCAGCCACGATGCATCAGCCTTCTTTTGAGAGCTGCGACATCTGGCAGCAAGTCGCCAATCTCGTCGCGTGCACAAGCAAACCGCCAAATGTTGTTGACGTAACACAACACGTCCGCGTAGGTCATAACGGACGCAGTAGCCTCTGCAGTGTCATCCATCTCTTCCTCATCGGAAGTTCCCGCAGTGTGAGGATGCACAGTTTCAATAATGTCATCTAGCGACACAGCACTGCACACTGCAACGTCGTCGTCGGCACCAACATAGTCCGCGAAAGATGCAGGCAGCTCCAGGTTGCCGAACTCTGGTTTGTCGTCGACAGGCACTGCAGCTTCACTGGTAGAACAAGCACCACTTCTATTAAAGCTGCAGTGCCTGAAGCAGTTGACAATGGTTTCTGGCGTGATTGCGTCCCATGCACTAGCAATGTAGTGCATTGCATCAAGCACAGAAAGCTTCTTATCCAACTGCTTGTGTTTCATGCCCGCCAGCCGATGCTGCACCAGAAACTTCAGATATTTCTGCTTCATGCACTTGATGACGCCGGCGTCAAGCAGCTGCATCTGGCTAGTGCAGTTGGGGGGCAGAAATGTAACTTTCACATTTCTGAAATGCGACGTATCAAATGCATGGCGCATTGTGAAGAAAAAGAAGAATTCTGTTTTTAGCCCCCATTTTTAAGTCCAGCTGCTGCAGATATGTTGAAAACATAGCAGCCGTCATCCAGGCTTTCCGGTTGAACATGTACTGGCCCGGCAGCCTTTTCAAATTCTTGAAGCATCGCGGCTTTGCAAACTTGCCGATCACGAGGGCAGGAAGCTTTTCTGAGCCGTCATTAGTGCAAAGCAATACAGTAAGACGCTCTTTGCTTCGCTTACCCCCGTGACAGCTCTCTCCTTTGAATGTTAATGTCTGCTCTGGCTGCATATTGTCACGATAAGTCACAAGTACTGGGGGATTTATTGAACGACCGGGTAGCTAGCTTTAGGACGATGCGTCAGTCGTGGCTGGCTCTCGAGCCGAGAAGAGGCTCGCAATCTTCTTTCTTTCCTCCAGATGGTAGAGCCGCTCTTGCAGTCGACCCACTACGTGTGGGTGGCATTATCCCCCCTTTCGAAAAGAAAAAAAAGTCCCAAAAGGGGGAAAGAAAAGTACATAGCACCACCACGATGTTACGACATAGGCACGTGGAAAAAAAAAGAAATTGGAAATTCGGATAAAGTAAAAGTAGAAATTAACGAGCGTGCCAATATAGGAAAAATCAGTGAACGAAGAAGCAAGTTCACAAAAATAAATAAATAACACAAAGAACAGTGCACGGCAAGGAAAAGTTATGAACAACGCGCAATAAATGGTTTCATGTATAACACACGAACGACATCCGACCTCGGTCGTGTCCTACTCCGTGCCTGTGATGTTGAGTCCGGAACCACTTCGTAGTTCACGTCACTGACGCGACGTAACACTTTATATGGGCCAAAGTACCGGCTCAGTAACTTTTCACTAAGGCTACTGCGGCGGACGGGCGTCCACACCCAAACTCAGTCTCCGGGGTTGTAAAATACTTCACTGTGGCGGATGTTATAGCGCCGTGCGTCTGCCTGCTGTTGCTGGCCGATGTGTAGTCGCGCGAGCTGCCGGGCTTCCTCAGCACGCTCTGCGAATTCATCGGCGTCAGTTGCCAAGCCCCGCCGCGGTGGTCTAGTGGCTAAGGTACTCGGCTGCTGACCCGCAGGGCGCGGGTTCGAATCCCGGCTGCGGCGGCTGCATTTCCGATGGAGGCGGAAATGTTGTAGGGCCGTGTGCTCAGATTTGGGTGCACGTTAAAGAACCCCAGGTGGTCTAAATTTCCGGAGCCCTCCACTACGGCGTCTCTCATAATCATATAGTGGTTTTGGGACGTTAAACCCCACATATCAATCAATCAATCATCATCAGTTGCCGACTCGTCTTCGTCTTGACACGGTAGCATAGAGTCCAGCATGGTCTGCACTTTGCGGCCGTAGAGAAGCCGAAATGGCGTGAATCGCGTGGTCTCTTGCATGGCGGTATTATACGCGAAGGTCACGCAAGGTAAGATCCGGTCCCATGTTTTGTGCTGTACGTCGATGTACATTGAGATCATGTCTGCGATGGTCTTATTCAGTCGCTCGGTAAGTCCGTTGGTTTGCGGGTGGTACGCAGTTGTCTTTCGGTGTCTGGTGTTGCTCAGTTTGAAAACCTCGTCCATAAGCTGCGCCGTGAATGCCGTCCCTCTGTCCGTTATTATACTGGCAGGAGCACCATGTCGTAACACGATGTGGCGCATGAAAAATTGTGCTACCTCAGAAGACGTGGCTCGTGGGATCGCCTGCGTCTCAGCGTAGCGTGTCAAATAGTCGGTCGCAACGATCACCCATTTGTTGCTGTCCGCAGACAGGGAAAATGGCCCGAGAATGTCCATGCCGACTTGGTTGAATGGCGTGCAAGGTGCTTCAATGGGCTGAAGCAAACCAGCTGGCTAAACAGATGGTAGCTTTCGGCGCTGACATTCCCGACAGCTCTTGACGCTTGCCGAAAGTCCTGGCCAATAGTACCTCTCGCTCACTCTGGCAAGTGTCCGTGAGTAGCCCAGATGACTGGATGTGGGTTCGTCATGGCAAGCGAAGAGGACGTCGTCTCGCATGTCTCGAGGAACCACCAGGAGGTAGGCACGGTTGTTCGAACGAGCGTTCTTCTTGTACAGCACACCATCTCGAAGGCAGAACGACGGCAACGAGCGGAATAAATGACGTGGTATGATTGTGCCCTGGCCCTCTAAATGATCGATGATCGAACGAATCTCTGCGTCATCCCGCTGCCGTTTACTCAAGTCTGATGAGCTAATGGCGCCCAGGAAGCCTTCGTCTTCCTCTGCTTCCTAACTGACGACATGAAGGGGTGCGCATGACAGTGTGTCAGCGTCTTCATGCTTACGGCCGGACTTATGGACGATGGTGACGTCAAATTCCTGCAGCCGCAAGCTCCACCGTACTAGCCGTCCTGAAGGGTCGTGCAGGCTTGCCAACCAGCAGAGGGCGTGGTGGTCCGTCACTATCTTGAAG